CCTTGTGGAGTCTGTGAGAGTCTTGCCATAGGTTTTAGAGAGCAAAGATTTTATTTTTGGACTTTATTTCTTTGAGAAGTTGGTATGGCATCTTCGAAAAAAAGAATGTTACGATAAAAATTTTGGTAACCTGAAAAATGTTCATCAACTGGCAGCAATAGGCCAAAGGCGCTATTTGAGGACTAAAAGCTTAAATGTTGTCAGTTCTGCTAAACTTGGTGGGTGAGGCAACCTCATGAACACATTGCTGCTACGGTATTTTTTATAATTACACGTGAGTTTGGGGGAAACAGCTGATTGATAATGTGCTGGCCTTGAAGAAAATGATTTGGGAGAGCAGCTGGTAGTTTCTAGGAGGGGCTGGCTGACATGCTGCTTCCAGCTGTTGGCACTGTGACTGAATAAAGAGTGGAGTCGTAGTTGTCTATAAAGAATAGGAGTTCCCAGGTAGATGGAGTATAGGCTTGTTTCTGCGGCTTTCCCTTGGGTCTGCTGTCAATTAGGATACTGAACATCTCTGTTAGAAAAGCAGGTTTAGACAGATTGTTAGTTTCTAGAGAAGAAAATCTGTAAGGAGTATTATGCTTAGTTGTGTTTTTTACTAAAGTTGCTCCAAGTGAAAAAATTACAGAAGTCAAATTATGGTCATTGTACTAATCTAAATTTTAACACCTGTTTTCACTTTAGGGATAAAACTGAAGAATTAATGGAATTAACAGATGAGCAGAGAAATGAACTGATGAAAAAAGAAAGCAGCAGACTCCAGAAAACTGGACACCGGGTAACCTACTCTCCTCGTAAAGAAAAAGCACTAAAAATTTATCTGGATGGAGCACCAAATAAAGATTTGACTCAAGACTGATACTCGCTATAGCATTTTCCCTGGGGAATTTTTTTGTTTAAAATAAAAGGTTCACTACTACTGTGTAGTGCCGTTACGGCAGGACACTCATTAGGTGTAAAGCGCTGACACCAGCACTGATTGGGCAGTGTTACCAATCAGAAGCGCAGTGCCCTGTTGGGCCACTGTTTGACTTGGAATCATGTTGTGCACTATAGTCAAATGTACTGTAAAGCTAAAAGGGATGTGCAAATAAAAGATTAGAACTAAAAAGCGGGCGGGGAGGGAAACGAGTGGAAATTTTTGAGGACGGTGTGCACATAGTAGCTAGTGAAACTAGCCTCAAACAGGATACTCATAGCTTAATAATAAAAGCTGTGCAAAGGCCATGAAAGAATCCTTTTTTCTGTTTGTTTCACTGATACACGCATTACCTCATCAGAGAGTCTGAAGTAAATGTTAACACATTGGTTCCAGAAAAGCAGCAGAAAAGGGTCGAAGATGAAACGAAGTGCTGCAAGCGCAAGGTTTAGAATATTCTTCCATAAAAGAGGTGGGCTGAGAGGTGTCTGCAGAAAGCTGCCAGCAGGTGTTGGTTCCTTTTGCAGAAGTGCTGTTGTAAGGTAAACTGGTTTGTAATGGGTTACGGAAGCCGATGAGCAGCTCTATTGCATTGCGTTCAATGTGTAAATAAAATTTGCCCTATCCATTCAACAAAACTGCAGTTCAGCTATTTACCCTGGTATTTCTTTTCACATATCGACATTCGTTGTGTACATTTGGAAGTATAGTTGCCTATTTAAATTTGTACTCATTTTATGTTTGACGATGCTGGGTACTTTAGGGTTGTATTTCCCCTTGTTAATGAAGTTTTTGTTTTGTTCTGCTACTTTTTGTACATTTTGGTTTTGAGACTATTACAAGTTTGCATCTTCTCCACCCACTGGAAGTCATTTTATTTTTGCCAGATTCCTTAGCTATATGTAGTCAAATATTGGGGCGACCTCTAACACCTCAACATATATAAACTTGGTAGTTCAGGTTGTGGTGCAAAGACTGATGCAGTCAACATGATTTCATTGCAAAGCCTAGGAACAGCAATTTTTTGCTTTGGTCCATAAAGATCAATAGAGAACAATTCTCCGTAGTTTTTGGAAAACCACCTAATTTATAACAATCAAAAGATTTTGGTAAACTTTTTCATGCCAGATGCTGTTTACAACGATGAACATGCCAATAAAACATTTGTTCATTCTGTTGTGTTATTTTAATCATTAAATGCAGTGGTTTTTATTTGAAAAATTGCAGATTTCATGGAAATAGACTTTTCAAGGCAATGCCAGACTTGTAAGGCTGTGTGTATGTATGTGTGTATACGCACGCACACCCCCAACGCATGTGCACAGTATTGCAGGACGTGTTTTGTAGCCTCTCTGCTGCTCCTCTTTACCTATATTCACACCAAATTTTTCTGCAACTCTAAGTCTCCTTTTCCAGAATTGGATTCCTCAGCAGTGAAACTTCTAAGCTCCAGATATGATTGGCAGCTAAGTTCTGCTCCAGAGCGGAAAAAGGATTTTGAATAACTGAACATTCGGTTCTTCCTTGCATGCTGACCCACAGCAACCTGAAAATCCTGAGGAATCTGGCAGCTTGAGAACCAGGCGCTGCGCAGAGGAATTCCCTCGTTCTTCCTCTTCTGTTTGACCTGTGCCACCTCTTGTCCAACATAGATGTGGTGGAAGCAGGAGCAAAGGAAGCATAGAGTGAGTCCCACCCAGCAGGTAGAGTACTTCATTAAGCTACCGTTTACGTGTGTCTCTAGACTGCTGAAGGATCCTTGGAGGTTTTGGAAGAGAGAAAAAAATTAACTATCAAATGGGTCATGAATTTTCTTCAAACTCAGACATTCAGAGAGGCAGAAATCCACAGATGGAATAAAGCAGAGTTAAGAAAAGAATTCCAAAAGCTGCTTGCTTCATCTCTAGCCCTATTTGGGAAACTTCTGTTGAGAACTACTTTGAAGAAGTTAATTTTAAACCTGTAAGTCTTCACAGAAATCTGGAGAGAGGACTGAGGGGCACCCTTACCCCGTGATTTCCTGTCCAGTGGTGCACTTCCTTCTGCAGAAGCGTACTGGAATCCGTTCTCGGGTGTTCTGGGAGACGCTTTCCAGCACCTGCTTTACATTCTGATCATTTCAAACATTTTTGAGTTTGACCACGGGCATTTTAAAGAAACAAAAAGCCTTGAGTTTCTAATAGGCTTAGTTCAGCAGAGATCTTACTGAACTTCTGATGAATACTAACTCTTTATCTTTCAGGGATTGAGGCATCGAGAAACTTGAAGGGAGAATAATGTTATCCTTAAGTAGGGAAGTAGTATGGACAATTATTGCGCTCATCAAGTATTTTTTTAACAGGAAAATTGCAATGATATTTAATTCCTTCTCTTTGCACGGATGGGCTGTCTCTAAAGCACAATAATTTTATTAGGGATAGAAAGGAAAAGTAAATTCAGTGAACTCTGAGAGCATGCGTATGTGCGCATGTGTTGCTGTGAGAATTGGTGGTAGAAATGAATCTTTCAACTAAAAGTCAGACTTTTCTGATGAAATATTCTTCCTGTTCATAATGATAATGGCTAACATTAATTCTGGTACCCAAGGAATTTGTTGAAAAGCTTTCAGTGACCAGAAGTGCTGACAGACTTGCTAGTAGCACAGTCTTGTAGCTGCCCTTAAGTTATTGGTGCTCTACTGTTCCAAATTAGACATAGCAGTAGGGATTATTTGGGAAGAAGCTCCAGGAAAAGTTACTTGGCTGGAGCCTCATGGCATCTTTTACCACGTGCAATAACAGATGGTGAAATCTATACCCCAAAAAACCAGTAATAGTAGAAAAGCCATTGTAGCAAACGGTTTGTTGAGACAGCTGGGAGCTGGGGAGTTTGGATTGGATTTTACTCTTAGCTTGCTATTGATTTTTTTAAATCAATGACCTGTTGAGATGGTAATGATAATCACGTTTTGTAACGTGCACAGATTTATGCCTGTGAAGTGTATTAAAAGCACAAACCATTTCTGAAAGAATTTTCTGTGGATGTAATAGAATCAAGTAGGAGAAGCACAAGTCTCTAAATGCAAGAAGGTATTTAGGTTGTCTTACTGCTGAACTGAAGTAATGAATTTATGTTCACTGCCTCTGTCTCAGAAAGGGTAGGTGATGATGGAGTATAGTCAACACATCCTTTAACTGACGTTACCCAAGAAGGTACGTTCATGTAGTGCAGAATGCTGCAATATATGTGGCACTCTATTTAGCTCTGGCTTAAGCGTAGCCTTGTAACTGCAGCTGCACTATCCTCCTATGTATTCATACTTATGTATTCAGTGTACGACAGAGGATCTATATTCTTTGTATTCAGCCCATATAGCTGTTTGTTCTGCAATTTTAAATAGTATATTTTGCCCTTGAGAGATGGAGCCCTGAACAGTGAAGTTGAAAGTTCCTATACCAACGTGTTGTATAGATACGAGTGTGTACACGCTATTTGTTATTGATGTGGAAAATGTTGTAGGCTTTTTTTTGATAGTATGCCACTTACGTAGTGGGGGAGGCTAATGACCATCGTATGCGGAAGTATAAAACTCGAGGGATGCTCTGGCTGTGGAACACCAGCTCTTAAGTTACCCTGAAGGCTACTGCAGGACAGATGGCATCCATTGTACACAGCTGAAAAGCAGCTCTGGGTATATTCCATCTAGAAGGGGAAGCATCCGTTACCTTTTCCATCCTTCCACAATGTGTGTGTGGGGGGGGGACATGACACCCAGAATCTGTATGTTGCAGCTTCACTGATTATGGTTTCTAAAGCAAAAATTAAAAATTGCTTAAAATCAATGACTAAAACAGTCCAAAGTAGATCTTCCTTACCCTAGAAAAAGAAACAATTCTAAACATACATACTCAAAAATCACTTCTACAGTCACTAATAACTTAAGATTATTTATGCTTATGTGTATTTTTTAATGAATACAAGTACTGATAAGTTTACTTCTAATGTACAAGGGGAAAGTACTAATCCAGAAGAAACACTGCTATATTTCTCGTTGTCTTTGACAGAAGGTTTGGTCCGAGGATTGAATGAATTCAGCAACAATGTGAACATGCAGGTTTGGTGCACAGAAAAGGATGCTCATTGAAAACCTTGTTTATTGCACTTCTATCCAGCAGTATGTGTTTAGGGTTTATATAAGCGAGACACTAGACACACATTTCTAGAAATAACTAACTAAACTGTCTGGTGTTTGGACTTTAAATTTCATCTCCCAAAAACAGGTCTTGAGCTGAGTCAGGCTCAGGCTTGAAACCTGCTTGGTCCTCCAGACTTTCTAATTCTTTACGCACTTCCTGAATGACGCTGCTTTCTTCATAATCAGAAAGAATATCTCTGGGTATCAAGCTGAGCAACGGCATCTCATCCATGATTAAGGGATCTTTTTCGTTATTCCTGGTTTCATTGGCGGACAGTTCGCACACAGATGTAGCGCTGTGGCTGTAGGAAAAAGAGAGACATCTGGTCATATAGTAGATCTTTTCATGTTCTTTTGCTAGCTCCTTAATAAAATGCTGTCAGATCTACCATTGCTGGCTTTGTAAACACCTGATTTTTATATGCTTGACAGCTGGAGAGTTAAAGATGAGATTTCCACATACAGAGCTAGAACAAAGATCCTAATAGCAAAGAATGTTTGATACTGGGACACAAGATGGCAGTGGACCTCAGCACAATCTGGCCCTTCTACCTACAAGCAATCATGGTGACTAGTCCTTCTCTTCGTGTCATAATGCCAAGTTAAGAAACATGATACTCCAGCTTAAAAGGAAAGCAGAAAAAATGTTGTTTGCTATCAAGCTGTAGACATGAGAAAGCTGTAAGCATTATATATTTGGTTCTAAGTAGGATAGCAGCTGTATTTGCTGCTGTCCTTGTTTTGAAAAGTGACTTCAGGTGCCGGCAAACAAACATCCCACATTTGTTGTAGGAACTTTAAAAGGGAACACGAATGATTTCTATTTGTTGACGGGAGGCAGGGGAATAGAGCTTGATCACGGTGCATCCACTGTCTCTTTGCACTGCGTGGGACAGGACAGGGCTACAGGTCCTTGTGACAGTGCAAGGGGGCCACTGCTTGGGCCAGGCACCCCTCAACAGCTGCTTAAAGCTGCAGCCTCTTCCACTGGAAACACTGGGTAAATGAACTAAAGATGCTCCTGAAGCTTGTGTACGGTCTGAATTCTTGTATGTTTTGCTTTCCAGGAGTTCCAAGACTCCCATTTGTGGGCAGACTATCCCTGTATTCTCCAGGATGCAGTCTGATAGTTTCGGCGTTCATCACTCACTAGTAATATTTAGCCAAGGGCACTTCAAGCAGAGATGGGCTGTTTCCTTGAACAAAAAATGTTATCTGAATCTTCAGGCTCACCATGTAAATTCACAGAAGCAGCTTTATCTTACTGTCTGCGCAAGTCATGGGCAGGTGGTATGCACAGTGTTAGTGTATTTGTGATAACCCTAAACCAATAATTCCGGTGACTATAGCTGGACAGGTAAGTTCTGTTCACACCCTAATTCATTTCTGTGTTTCTATATCCTCATCTGAAATGTTTTCCCTCCTACTAGACGTGACGTTTGCTGACTTGCCTTCCCTGAGGTTAACGGTGCTTGCACATTAACTAAAATTTTGGTGCTGAAAGGACGGGATCAACTCTGCTTGCTTCCTTAGATCACGTTTATGAAAGAAAATGCTATCCAATTACTTTTCATGCATGAAAAAAATGTAGAAACAGTTGGACCCAGAAGAAGAGAGAAATCTTAATCTACATCTCTATTGCAACTATGCTGTTTTGTTGAAAGTTAATATAATGAAAATGGTAGTGTGGGAACAAACTTGGAGAGCTTATTTCACAGGTAACGTGTAGGTTTTCTGAAAACGCTTTTAGTGCAAACCTGAAATGATCTCGCTTTCTCCCATTGAAATTGCTGATAATGCAAATAACTGTCCTTAAAAAGAATGATTAAAGGCATGATATATTAAAAGTTTTAGCTTCTAGCTGAAAATATGGAGTCAGCCTCCTTCCTATTCCGTGAAACTCAATACTGAAGAAGTCTGCACAGTGTGAAGTGTTTCAGGTCTGAACAGCAGACCGTAAGTCAGCTGTAGGGCAACCGGCTTCTCAGGTTAGTTTGAAACTGAAGGAAAGTGCAAGCAAAGATTATCTTTTTTTTTTTTTTTTTCTCCTTGCAACAGAAGTGACTTTTTGTAAAGCTGATCAATAGTACAGGAACGTGCCTGTTTATACTTACTACAGGTATTAAAATGTCTTTGTCTTAGGTATGAAAGCAAGCAAAATGTCTAACAGAAGCCCAATTTAACACAAAAGTTGGTGGACAAGAGCTGAATGTAGAGAATTAAATTGCAATGATCCATCTCAACAGCTGTTAGTACTCTGATTGATTAAAAAGCAGGAGCAGCCTGATACACAAACTTAATTCACGCAGGATTAAGGAGTTGTCAAACTCAATTAGGCACATCTGTGTGAGACAAAGCAGTAAGTTTGAGAAAGTTTCAATGCTACTGATGAGAAAAGCTGTCAAAACACTTTCTAGTGTGGAACAATCTGTAAGTTGTGCACCTATTTACCACAGAAAGAGACCCCTCAAAAATTTCAAGCAGCTTGCTTGCCCAGTTTTGATCTTTACCTCTGAGGTTGGCAGATCAAGCCGCTGGCACATGGGCATCGCTCAAGTACTCCATCGGGTTCCAGTTCCCAGGTGATCAGGTTGAGAAGTCTGTTGGAAGGATCATGGCAGGGTTCACCTTCTTCAGGCAATGGAGTGCACACAGGAAACAGCAGTTCTGCGTGCCAGAGTAAATTAATTTTATGAGAAGTCGTTAACTGTCTGCTAAACTGAGATGACCGAATCTTTAAGTCTACATGCGAGATATAAAAAGACAGACTTGACCTCTTTCTAAGTCCCCTTATGTATTAGGGAGCCGTAACTTACATGTTCCTACCACTAGGTGGGAGTAAGATGCTTGATGTTTATGCTTAACGAGCAAGATGAACTCCTGCTCCTTCACAAAGAGACTACTGTCAATACGGTAGTACTGCACAACTCCATCCCTTGGAGATCTGAAAGACTGTTCTAAAACCAAGAAAACTAATATGACAGTGAATCCTTTTCAATGCATAGCATTAATGGTTTAAAATCTGAATAGAGAAATATCTCTATTTTAGAACACTTATTTCTCCTATTTATTCTATTTCTTTGCAGAGGTTACAAATACAGAGCAATTGTTTAGAGACTACATAACGAGGTTACAAGAACTACTCCTCAGCCATTTATTTTGTTATAGTAATTCTACAATAGGCAAAGCTGTCTGATGGCATTTGGGGCTTGGCACCCTTGTTTCTGCACAGGGGTGAATTTCAGCCTGTGTAAGAAACTGGTTAGAAGGATATGTCACTTGGGTTTCCTGATGCTGGCAACTTATAGCGTCAGTCTTGAATTCAGCTCTTCCAGATATTCCTATCAAACCTCCCTTCCTCCTCTTGTCTTCATTCACATCATTTTTTGTGGTATGGCAGAATAAAATATGTGAAGAATTCAGAATTTAAGTTTTTAAAACAGGCTTGTCAAAATATATATGTGTGTGTGTGTTTATACACAGACATACACATATGTTTTCAGGTATACAACTTCTTAGTTCCTAATTCCAAAACAGATTGTATCTTAAGCAGTGAATGCTCCAGTTTACTGCAGTTTTATATAAAAAATATACAGGTAAAGACAGTCCAGTCTTTATTAGGACAACCTTTTGCAATACTCTAGTGACGGAGAAAGGCCTTGAGGTTAGGCCTAACCTGAAAAACCCTAAAGCACTGCTAAAGCAGACAACTGTAGAGAATAAAAATCCATTGCTATTAATCAATAGCTCTGTTTAAAGTTTTAATAATGGTATTCCGTCAATATTCTTATCTATTGTATTGTTCCTTCCTGAGTTACAGGTTTGTACTAAATTCCATTTCAAGCCAAGCACTAACTTACATTAGTGTGAACGTCTTATGCAGCTGAAATAACCATAATGAAGACAACAGCTTGTTTGGATCCCGCAGGAAATCAGGACTACAGAAGCGGTGTTACCCTCACAGGAGACTAGCCTAGTGCTACAAACACCACGGGATGTAAATTACTGATTTACTCATCTCTGCAGTGTGAGCAGAGATTCAAAGTCCTGCATGGCGGAAGTAATGGGCATTTATTAAAAGTACTCTTTCTGTCTCATTTCAGAATCGGCGTACAAAGGAATCTCTGATAGAGCTTGGCAAAACCTGTAAATGTTTTAGGCAGAAATGTGACGAAGGAGAGAATAAAACTGTTCTAACCAAAACTTGCTGAAATCAAACTTACTTAACATCGAAGGTCCACCATGTAATGCTCAAAATTAACAAGGAAAAGCTGAGCAGACCCAATTGCCTTTAAATGGTGCTTGAGCTTTCTCCTTTGTTTTCCTGAAATGCCCTAGTCGCCTGATCCACCAGCAGGCTGAAGGCGGGACAGGCAGCCCCAACTATCAGTGAAGGTACAAGGTCAACTGTTGCTCGTAGCAAGGGAAGTATCGACCTGGTGTAGAAAGACGGTTGGAATTGTATCCTGTCACTACAAAATTAAGGTGAAGTCTGAGAAAAGCAGTGAGGAACTAGTGGGTATAAAACAGCAGAAGCTGGGGCCTGACCAGGCAGGATTTAGGACTGATTTCAGGCCTGATATCTTCTCCTCCTCTCCTTCCTTCTGTAAATCAAGTTTCACGTTCCCATGTGGACTGACCATGTAACCTGGAACATCATTCCGCTATGTGTCTTGGCTGTCCAGTCAGTATTGCATAGCGTGGTGCCCTGGAAGGCTCATATAAAGAGTATGAAATGTATCTGTGGTCTGATTCTGATGGCCTGCTTGCTGATATGAAGGAAAAGGCACGTTTGGTAATATCATTAATTTATTTTGTACATTTTTAATTCTCTTATTTTTGCTCTATTGGGTAAAAATTTAACACACAGCTCTGCTGCTTTTAAATGACTGAGACTCTCCTTTAGAAAGAGTAGGTCTTTGTGCTTCTCATGCTGTTCTCATCTCTAGCGTGCAATAGGCTTTTCTTTCACCATTGTGCACCCCATCAGGCTGTTTCTCACTCCTAATTCTATTAAAGTTTTATAACGAAGTTAACATGATGCGCTCCGCAGGCCAAGGGAGAATGACCTATTGATTCTGTAGAGATGTAAGCACTTCACCTGGGCAAGAGAGCTAAATGTTAACACTCTTGTATTATAAAATGAGTAGGATAAAAAGCAAAACCTCTGTACCTTTCTGAAAAGCACAGCACATTCCAGGGTTGCAGTCATGTTGGTTCTCACAAATGGTGCCGTTCTCTCCTTTGGAAGTGGATTTCTTGCACTCGCCCCAAACGCAAAGCTGGTCTCCACAGCATTCAACATCCCGTGAGCAATGCTTGCAAAGGGAAAAAGCGCATGATAAAGCTGTCGCTCTAGCACTAATTGCACATATCAACGGACAGCGAAACATAGAATTAGACCCTGGTCCTGAAGACAACTGTGTGGGTGTGCTTTAAATATGTGCATGTCATATTCCCACTGTTTAAACAGAACTGCTTAGGTTCTCAACTTCGAGCGTACACAGAACTATTTGCCAGACAGGAGCCTCCGCAGCAGAGTAACAGCATTCTTCCTATACTATTATACTTTCAATCTTGCAAAACCTAAACTCTTATTTTAGCATTTACACGAAAAGTGATCAGCAGCCAGACATCCTACAGTGTAACATGGATTTCAGGACAGCCTTTTGCAATCAAGGAAAACAAAAATTAATAAAAGAAACATTATCAATGGAAAATATTACTGATTTTTTTCCATTGTTAAATGCACTCGGGAATTTACAATTTGCTCAGAAGGATTGCTTTCAAAGAGCAATGCAAAAAAATCTTACTAAAATCCCATTTTTACTTGTAATAAGAACCAGACCTCATTTGTAACTGAGAATTTTTGAAAAAAATTTTTCTTTGAAAATCAGAAATGCAAATCTCTAGCTAAAGACAGCCTTCTATGACAGTTGTGCCAGTGTTTCAACTATACACACCTAATAAATCAACCTAATAAAAGCGGTGTGTCACTTTGTTTCTTTTTTTAGGTAGTTTGATTAACCTCTTAAAGATTCCTAGTAGGTCAGCGCTTTAACAGCTTTCTTCTGTCTGTGTAAAGCCCTGTCTGGGCAGCCATACAAAATCAGAATTTCTTTTCCAGTGGATCCCCCAGGCAGTGCTTAACACAGGGCAAGAAGCAGGACTACGCTAACGCTATTAAGACCTGCTAATTACAGAATATTTTTCTTTTTAATTGTGGGGGTTCTAGGTCAGGAAATTGATCCCGACATCTTCAGTCTGAGCTCACTTTACAACAGGAGTCGTAGCTAGGACCCAATTTTTACTTGCTTTATCCTACCAATGTTCTCCTGAAGACTGCAAAGAAAAGGGGCAGGGGCGTGTTAGGTCATTATCATCTTGATTTTTAATTATTCCATGTTAACGTGAAAAATTGTCAGTTTAACATTTTCTAAAATATGAAGAATAAGCTTTCTTAATGACACTTGAGCATATATTCAGGACTTGTGTTTAAGCAAGCGTTCAGTCCACTGAAGTCAATAGAGCTCCCTGAAGTTATCAAGGTAAGTAAGGATTTAAATCATTTCGGGAACAGCCTGTTGTTTTTAGATTATAATAATCCTATTGATACCATGACTTTACAGCAAGGTTTGCTTGCTTGTAGACTTAACTGTCTGCAAATGCTTTGAGGAATGAATTTGTTTCACAAGAGGCTGTCAGCAGAACTTAGATGAAAAGGGACAGTCAGATAAAAGGCCGTTTTCGACAGACTGCTCTTAAACTGGCTTTTCACCACAGAAAAAGCCTGAACTTCTCAGGGATCTGTCACCTGCAGAAGATAATCTAACCATAGCTACTACCAAGAACATTTATCTTTTAGCTCAAAAGACAGGAATTTGTGTTTCCTGAGGTTCACAGATTCAAAGAATGTAAATGATCCACATAAGAGGATCATTTACAGTAACAATTGCACTACAGCATTGTACAAGTTGTCCGTGAAGGCAAGAGCGCAGGCTGCTGCGATTCTCCTTGTGAGTCAGGAGCTGGAAATGACCAGCTGTCGGCTGAGCCTTCGGAGCTGGCGCGGCATTTCCTCTGCCCATTCCTCTGGCAACCTAGAGTGTGTCAGTTTACGCTGTCCTTAGGCCACGTAACAAGTCAAGCTTGAGTCGGGAGGAGCGGAGGGCAGGTTTTAAGGTATATGAGAACAGAAACCTTAAAACTTAGTTGTGTTAACAGGCAGGAAAAAAAACCAACCCAAAACACTCTACCCATCCATTTCTGAACCTCATGTAGAAAGCTTTGCTTCTTGTTTTCTATCAATTTTGGCTTGCTGACATTAGCAACAATAATTTACATATTGAGTTTCTAAAGACCACATAAAATCACATCTCATTCGGGACTTACTGTATGCTGTGTTTTACAGAGCTGACACTTGTATTCAAAGGTGGAGAATTGGCAATATTTCCCTGTTTCACAGTCTTCGTCAATGATACACTCCTGAAGAAAAGGATAAAATAATTTGCGACTGTGCGACAGAAATCCATAACTCTTCTTGAAATACCAGAACGTCTTGATTGATTATATTTCTTATTTGGGAACCAAGAAAAGAAGCTTGCTTCAGTTCTTCATACAACCTCAGTTCTGTAAGAGAACAATGCTATCTCCCTGGCATACCTAAATACTGTGGCCTCGAAGCATTAGCTGGCTTCACTTCTTTTATAAATATTAATACAAGCAACCTCAAGAAAATAAATTATCCTGTTCTGCAGGCTTTTTGGTTTGTTTTTTCTTCTTTGGGGGGCGGGGCTGAAGACATTTGTATTACATCTATTCTACTTGTATTAGAGTACGATTGTGATTCATTAGTTGTTGGCTGTTTTTTCAGATATGGGGCAAGACCAAAGGAAAGAGGCCACACTACAACAGTGGCAGCAGCCAAGAGTATCTTTATGCTCTGTGGGAGACCATTCTGCAACAGCTTTCTTGATCCCAGGCCAAGCAGCTTTATGCTGTCTTCCTGCCTCTTCCCCAGCTACACGAGTTCCGACCTCAGAAACTCCGCAGCATGGTTAGCTTCCCTAAGCCAGCAAGGGTAGCCCTAAGGGAGAAGGGAAATGTGTTTCCTTTGCCTTTTAACTGCTCCTCTGCTCCCCTTTGCAAGGGGCAGACAAATTCTTCTTGGGCAATCTTTGCAGTGCCTGAGCATTTTTGTTGGCAACGGTTTCTACGTTTAAAAACACAGTGCTGCTTTCCACAGGACTGGTAACGTTAAATGTTCCTGGGACTTCGTGGTAACAGCAGCACTACCTTACAGCCAGTACTTCTGGGAAGCAGCGGATGTCATACACCATTTGATTTCCTTTTCTTGGTTGATAGCATGCCTCTCATGTACCTATCACCATAGCCCATCACCTGCAAGCTCACAGCTGCAAATGTCTAAATACCTACACATGTAAATTTTAAATCCTTACTTTAATTTAATTTGAATATTGCAAAATATGCAGGAGCAGATTCTCAGCTGACATCATTCCTCTGGCATCTCCCTGCTGTCAATGGAGCTAATTTAGATTTAGTAACACTCTAGCCTGTCGAAGAACATGACTTCCCCATCACATGCTTTTGAAACGCACGTAACAAACTCCCTGCCTCGTTTGCTGCACGTAAGTATTCAGCAGACAGGTTTGAACACTAATTTAAGATTGACAAGTACTGAAGAGCCACATACATCCTAGGGAAAAAAAAGCCTGACGGTTCCCTCGTGCATCAGCCTTTGCTACCCAGCTGAGACACGAGAGTAGGCCTCAAGCTAGCAGGGTGCTTGAGCACGTTTAGCTTTTCAAACCTGGAATCATTTCATGGCCTTAACAAAACTGTTCATGTGAGGACACCTGAGTTCCCATCTGAATCACAGACTCAGACTCAAGTTTCTTCACCCAGAGGTCCCACAAGCACTGTCGTAGGGATGGCTCACCTTCCGTTTGTGCTGCACAGGGTGAACGTTACAAACTGGTCAGAAATTCTTCCCAGAATGCAACTCTGCAGTTATGGCAGTGAGGATAATACAGAGAGTAAGTGTGCCTGTTTGTGCACCCCTGAAGCGCCTGGGGCACGGGGAGGGGGTGTTTCCTCTTCCCATCTAATGTTTGCCTCTTAAAAATCATGTGATCAACCCTGTTCTCTAAAATGTGTTTTCTCCAGGCTGGAAACAGAAGAATAACTCATAGCACCGTTCTGTGTCGCTTGTACTCCATCATTGGTTTGTATCATCATAAAGTTGATGCTATCTTTTTGCTATTAGTCAATTAAAAAAAAAAAAAGACAGAAAAAGGAGTTATACAAAAATCCCTGAATTCTCTGAAGAAACTACTTGACTGCTCTTTGGCAGATGTTAATCTCACTTGCTGGAGCAGATCAACTGTCATCTGCGCAACCTTTACTGAAAGTTTCCACTACGCTTTTAATTTTCAGTTTCTACTTTTTCAGATCACTTCTCCCCAAACTGCTGACTTCTTCCACCCCATCCCAGCTGGGTTTTGTATTTCAGCTGGGCTGAAAATTAGCTCACCAAGAAGCTTGAGTGAAGCTCTGAAATTACTATAATCACTGAAAGAGGAAAAGACTACATTGTGAAACAGCTATACTGCCTTCAGATCTTCTCCAGATTAAACCTTATGGAAGCTTCTTGCCCTGTGGGAGACAAGGCTGCTCTGCATGAAGAGCAATGCCTCATCTAAGTTACCCATTTTGGCCATCTGAGACGTTTTCAAACAGTTTGATTACCCAGAACGTAGAACAGAAGCCAAACACAGTCTGGGGCCTGATTCTTCTCAAGTCAATGACGTGACGTTCAGGTTATACGTTTATAACAAAGAAACAGTCATTTCAGCTATTTTGAGACATTACTATCACTGAGTCGAGGCTGCTGTATGTTATCATAATGTTTTTGCAGCGTCATTATTCCAGTACAGTGTGTGCTCTGCTTGTTTGCTTTTGTGTTGCTACATAATCAGGTGGGTCCAAATCCAACTGTTATACACTATGTTTGAGGTTTTGTGGTTCCAAGTTAGCAGTTAGCCACTTCTTTTCAGCAGCCACACCTATCAGCCACACACTTTATGGCCAATCTTCTGTCTGTAGCTTTGTCAGCTTCTTTTATGAATCCCTCTGTATAAACCATACTCAGAATAAACTATACTGTTTCATTCCTGTTCCATCCACTTTCAGGCAAACAGCCAGGTCTCGGTGTAGTCAGTTTTTCCAATTGTCCCTCTCCACAGAGGAGAAATCTTGCCATAATCGTATTTAAGCTCATGGAATAACTCACTCTAGCTCTAAAATCACCTAACACCAAAGCTGCAATTCTCCAGTCACTGCTTTCTCCTGCACTAATGAGTTCCCCGCCAAAAAACTTCTTTTTCCCCTCTTACTGAATTGTGTCCCACCAGCTCAGACTTCCAGTTTTATGAAGGTTTTCAGTTGAGGAAAAAAATCCCTTCACGGTTTTCTCTCCTGGCATGGAAAAAGCTTGCTTTTATATGCTTTCTGTGAAATTTTGTGCCACACTCCAACTTCCTTCAGCCAGGTATTATAATCTATATTCAATGCAGAACTCAGTAACGCTTACACATGCAAATATGTAACCATTTATCTCTTTTTTCTCTCTTTTTTTTTTTTTTAATTTATTTAATCAGGCTACCGACCTTTTCTAATCAGGCTACCTTGAGACACAACGGTTACTGGACAAGGAGTAAACCTAAACAACTTCTTCAGCTGCAGTAGATTCTGAACAATCCATTTTTTTCTGGAATTCTGCAAACTAAGTTATTTCTCAGAATATTTTGTCTTTGCAGGAGCAACTGTGTAAACTGAGGAGAGCGGGTGCCAGCTTCTGACATGCAGCGGAGCATACAAGTTGAGCAGATAGCTTAAAGACAGAATTAGCTACACCTATAATGGTGTACGATGTTATACCCATTAATTTAATGTAGCAGCAAAGGAATATGCTGTTTGAGAAGCGTGAAAGAATAATGCAGAGTGAAAGCAGGATTGCCTGTTTATTAATGGGTATACTAGGACCCATAAAGAGCAGAAGCCAGGATGGAGAAGAACATGCTATGTACCTGTAAGTACATACTCAGCATCCTGTGGGCTCTTATTATAATATTGTACTCTGCAGTGAATATCCTGCAACACCTGAAAGCAATTTGGTGGTTAGGATCTGTTCCAAAACCAACAGGAAAAAAAAAATCAACAAAACACTGGAACTCATGTAAAAGTTTCCCTGTACTTTAAGACCCTAAAACAACTGCTGCTGAAAGAAACTTCAGTTTTCTTGTCTTTGGCAGATTATGCCAAGCTATTGTTTGCTTTCCTAAAGAATGGTTAGTCTCCACACTTGAGAATAAAAAAATTAAAAAGTGACCGACTGATGTTAGTGATAGTGAAGTATGGTAGTATCAGAACTACCAGAAAAGTGAAACAGATGCCTGAGTGCGAGATGGCGCAGGAGCGTACACGTCCGAACTGGTGTAACAGGTTTTGACAGGAGTACTTTCCTTCTGGCTGAATGTTTACATATACATGGAAAAGCACAGAAGAAAAAAGTTTTCTTTCATTGTGATACCACAGTCTTCACACTCCACCCGACAGCGTGGAGCTATGGTCAGCTTCTTTGACCTAGAGGGCACTGTGGACTCTTTTGGCAGACTGTGCTTGTCTGGTGGAGCGTAGCCAACTGTGGTGGGGACCACACTATCCTCTGCCCATATAACACACTACGGAGAAAGAGGGAGAAGCAAAGAATTTCTCTGTTCAAGTTATGAAAGCAGAACTACAAGGCCAGAGGTAACCTACTTTCACACAGAAACCCACTTTTGTTTGCAGCATTCATGTGGTTTCTGTACCTCACTATGGTAATACTTTTAATACTCTGGATTGCTGGGGATATAATATGTACTGAAATCATGCTCATTTTGCTTTGCTCTTTTTCCCCTTAATTCCTAATTAACACCCTAAGTGTAGACTAAAAAATACGCTCAAGTCTATTCTGATACTGACTTGACTTTCAAAATGGAATCATTGATTTTAAATTCAAAATTGACATTTGATTTGTCTGTTCCCTCTCCCCACTCACACTCACCCCACTTCCCACATTTTCAAAAAGTCCTTCTTCAAACATAACTTTAAACAAAACCCTCTCTTCACTAGTCATATCTTCAGGCAATATTTGTCAGGGACAGGCAAATGACTGTCCAGAGTGAGCTTTCCTTTCCTTCTGGGCTCTTTACGCTTCAGCTTAGAACCCAAGCAAGCAGAGGAAGGCGCTCTTGATGACTTTACATACAACTTTTCAAAGTTGTTTTTTTTTTCTCTAGCGAAACCACTTATTGACGTTGAAACTGACATTTATTAGCAATTAGCACTTCTAAGAGCTAATATTTACTTCTGTATTTACATATCCCCTTCTAGGTTTTGTTTTAATTTCTACAAGTCATTTC